ATACTTGTTTGAGTTTCTATTTCCTATTGATTGCTGTCTGAAGGAGGCAAACATGATTGCTAATCATCTTTCCCATTTCTTTTACAATCCTCTTTTAGCCTATCTACCAGAAGGATAGATGATGTCTGGCTTACTACTACAAAAAGCGAGTGTATTACAAGTACAAAATGATTGGTGTATTGCAAGTACACAATGACGTGTCAATTAATTTTAAAAGAACTACTTGGTTTTTTCAAAAGTATTGAAACATGCATTCTTAAGCATTTAAACATTAGTCCTTATGGCCTGTCCTCGTCATTGTTCTAACAGCCTCATTTATGTCTTCCAGAGTCTAGGAGTCTTCAGTTTGTTTAAAATTCTAGCTAATTTTAGTTACTTAAATTCAGGGCTAATCCTAGTTACCTGGAGATTTTAATCTAATCTTAGTTGTATATAAGTAAAATGCAAATAAAGAACTCTTAATTATTTGGGACTGATCATCCAAATAATTCTTTTTTATTTTGTTTCCACTTTCATTTTTGCTCATTTAAAAAATTATCTCCTCTACAGAAAATGAACAGGTCAACAAAAGAAGATAAAACTCAAATTACACAGTTTTATATCATGTGGGGGAGTGTGTAGTGAAGAATTAAGCTTACCGAAGGAGAGGTCTGGTCTTTGCCTTTGGCTAGGGGGAGGTAATCTCCAGGCCCTTGGGATGTCATGCCTGATAGGGGTGTCTTTGTCTGGGCAGTCTAACAATGTGATTTATGATGGAGTTTTTGGGCCACGCAGCATCAGTTCTGTCTCCAGATGGGACTAGACATCAAAGGTCTCAACCTAACCTCCAGGAGGGGCTAGAGGCTAAAGGTCAGCCATGTGGGCAATATGTAATTGAGCCCCAATAAAAACTCTGGGCACCAAAGGCTTGGTGAGCTTCTGTGACTCCATGTGTGTTACTATACAGCGATACCAAGAAGTAGTAAATTCACGAATCCATGGGAAGAGGGCAAAAGAAACTGCTTTTGGTCCCTTCTGTGAACTCTGCCCTATGTTCTTCTTCCCTTTTCTGATTTTAATCTACATCTTTTCCTTGTAATAAACCATAACCGTGGTATAATAACTTTCAGTAAGTTCTGTGAATTCCAGCAAATTATCAGATTTGAGGGTGGTTTGGGGAATCCCCTGAACTTACAATTAATGTCAGAACTGAGAGTGGTCTTGCATGGACTCTGTCCCCTCTAAACTTAGCAGTTGTCTAAACTTTCTCAGGGAGATCATTAAAATATTTTAAAAATAATTTTCCATTATCTATGAGTTTTATCATCTCCTGAATGCCCTCCCCATTTGATAAGCTCTCCAGGTCAGGCCTGCTTCTATGGTGGAAGAAATGAGGTTGCTTGATAATCTGCCTGTGATTGGGTAAATTCAATTCAAGGGAAAGTTGTAGAAAATTCCACTTCAGACTCAAGTCCAAGCCATATTTTAATTCAGTTTCACTGTGGCTGTCTCTCAATTGACTTAGAATCCAGAAGAGAGAACAATATGATTAATTGTCATCTTAAAGTTAAAAAGAATTGAGGTAGTCAGTCATTGTGACTGGTCTCCTGAATGATGGAGATGTAAACTAGGAAGCTGTGGAGTAAATATCTTCTGCCTATCATGCAGTTGGAGCTCTGGTGGCACAGTGGTTAAGAGCTCAGCTGCTAACCAAAAGGTCAGCAGTTTGAATTCACTAGCCGCTGCTCCTTGGAAACCCTACAGGGCAGTTCTACTCTGTCTGTATCTGTCTGTAGGGTTGCTATGAGTTGGAATCTTGACGGCAATGGGTTTAGTTTTGGTTGGTATCATGCATGAGGGGAAGCACAGAACGTACATCTGCAGAAATAGAGAACAAAGCAATTGCATAGAGGAAACAGTCAAGACAAGAGAAGAGAGTTCTGATGGCTGTCTAGGTCCTGATTTCAGTCCCTTGCTGGGGTCCCGATGCATTATACTGTCTTTAGGTTTTGTTAAATACCACAGAATCATACAATTTATTTTATTTATGCTTAAGCTTGTTCAAGTTGTTGACCAAAAATGTTAACAATATACACTCAGAATTTCATTATTCTCATCCTTAAATGGGAACTTTAATACTACATATCCTATCTATCTCACTAGGAAAATACAATGAGATAACAGAGACAGAAAGAATCATAGATTCTTAATAGTACCTTTGATATTATCCCCTGTAAGTAGTTGTCCAGCTTTTATCCTTGACAGGAAATCAGTATTTCTTGAGGCAGCCTGTTCTAGTTTCAGACCTCTCTAGTTGCTAGAAAGTAGATATATATATGAAGCCGAAATTTTCTTTCCTGTAAGCCCATCTTATTTATCTTAATTCTATCCTTTTGGGTTATAAAGAATAAATGTAATCTCCCTTGTCCAGGACAGCCCTTAAAGTTTATAAAGACAGCTATCAAATTCTCACTCGAGCCTTTTCTTCTCTAGGCTGAACAAGCTCAGGTTGTTTAAGCATATGTTAGGATTTCCCTGCATGAGTGTGCCAGGAAGAACCATATAAGTTCGGACAAAAGAGTTGGAGAGTGAGAAAAAATTAAGGCTTGATCATTGTGCGGGGTGGGGGGTGGGGGGAACTTTATTAATAAGGCAATCAGCCACAGCATTTATAATTTTATAGCATCTCCAAATCCCTCACAGTTATCTTTAGGATTCAGGAAAAAAAAGAGGAATGCCTGAGAATTCTTAAATCATAAGTTATCCTGTATTTTTAATACAGTTTTTGAATACATGTTTTTAAATAATGAGTGACCATAATAATAAGCAGTGAATCATTTTTTATGATAGGATTATATTAAAAGTTTCAGAGGTTTTATGTAAAAAATAAAGATAAAATAATAATGGCATGTGACAACAGCATATATTTCAGTAACATATAAAAATGATCTGTACCTGATAATAGGAAAAAATTAAAAGAGAACATTACCCATTGCTGTTGAGTCAATTCCAACTTATGGCGACCCTATAGGATAGCACAGAACTGCCCCATAGGGTTTCCAAGGCTGTAAATCTTTATGGAAGCAGACTGCCACAGCTTTCTCCCTTAGAGCAGTGTGCTTAACTGCTGCGCCACCAGGGCTCCTTAGGTATGGCTAGGACTATATAATATGAATATATCTACAGAATTTGTAAACTTGTTTCAAGTTAATTTTGCTTAAATATTTCTCTGAATATTAGACATGATGCCTAGCTATAATTTAATTTTGTGACTTAGGAATACGTGATTCATTTTTCAACATTAATGCTGAATAGAGAGCTGCTTTAATATAGGGAGACAGCTTATTATATTTCAACACAACACATAAAGCCAAATATTCAATTTAGAACTTGATGAATTTGAAGAAAATGGGATATTCTGAAGGTTTTACCTCAGTTTAAGTACATTTGATGAATCTTAGTGACAAAGTCAGGTCAAATTTAACTTTTTTGCAGTTTACTTACTTTGCATTAGAATAAAAAGCATACATACCTGTCTTTGCTGTTTATCAACGCAGAGTCCATCCCAGCTCCTAGTGGTCAGGAACTCCCATTTGTTTCCTGCGGGTCATAGTGCCAATAGGGGTGAGTCCGACTTACAAATAAGTACTGACTGCTATTTGATGAGGGTGGTCCAGTCTGCTATGAGCTCCTGGAATTAAGCCCTTAGGCCCTGGCAGAAAATAACCTACCTCACAGGAATTATTTCAGTGACAAGAAAATTTACAAAACAGGCACATATTCCCTTCACAGGAGAGTGATTTTGTTCTCCTTGGGAGACTCTTGGAGTCTAGTTTGCAGGTTGTTTAAGTCTCTGAGTAGGTTCTTAAACCTTTAGAATTAATTTTGAGCAAAGAGTGCCAAAGCATCTGGGTTTTACATTAGTACTAAGCGATTTGAAAACGCTCAGAGTAGCTTGGCAGTATCCAAAAGGAGAACAAAGAAATAATAAGAGGTGTAATTGGGGGAGGGGTAAACAAACGAGAAACAGTATTTCATATCTGTTGGATGCTTCTAGGTTCCACTTTATAATAACCTAGTTAAGAGTTTGTACCATTTGAGGGCAAACGCTTAAGTATCAAATTCTAGTTCCTCCAGAGTAAACCACCTATTCTAGATTATTCCTTTTAGCTTGCCTACCAAAAAAAAAAAAAAAAAGTTGTTGTGAAGTTGATTCTGACTCATAGTGACAGTACAGGAGAGAGTAGAACTGCCCCGTAGAATTTCCAAGAAGCACTGGTGGATTTGAACTGCCAACTTTTTGGTCAGCAGCCATAGCTCTTAACCACTATACCACCAGGGTTTCCTTTGGCTTGTCTAGAGTCAGCAAAAGTCAATAGTCTTCCTGTGTGCACTTTGGTAGAAAAAACTCAATAGGACCAAGAAGTCAGGAGAGAAGAGATCTACTGAGATCTTTTGCCCCTAGTGACGCCTGTGCACTTGAACAACCACAGGAGCCTCGGTTTCCTGACCTGTAAATAGGGGTGCACACAGTTACATACATTTTAAGCCCTTTGTTGTCCTCTCAGCCATGAATAAGGTGCAGAGCCTAGGGCAAACGCTCACTGATTGCCTACCGAAAGCATATATGAACAAGTAAACGCTATTTTCGATTCGTTGGGGATCCACGCCAGGTTTTGGAGCCAACCCAGGCATGCGCTCCCGGGGCCGGTTTTCCGCCGGGGGTGGGGCTTGCCGCCGGCGGTGGGCGGTGCCCGCGCAGGGACTTCCCCCGGGTTGAGCTGCGCGGCGGGTGCGGAGGGCGGGCTCTCGGCGGTGGGTTGGGGGCTGTTGGGGGAGGTCGGGCGCGTCGCCCGCGACAACTGGTGGTCCCTTGCGCCCACGGCCTTCACGTGGAGGCGGCCCCAGGCGGGGCGGGGGGTGTTGGGAGGCGGAGGGCTGCTCGACCGGGATTACTGTGGTGCCCGTGGCGGCCGCGAGCATGTGTGCGTGCGCACGTTTATCTGAGCCCGGAGCTGGCTGCCCTGCCTCTTCTCCACCGTTAACTTGGGGGATACCGGTGTCTTAGCGGTAGCGATGCATTGCCCAGAGCAGACCCGCTCCTCCCCGCGGAGCGAGCGCCCCAAGAGCGCTCGTTTTCTTTGTCCCCCCACAAGGGCCACCTCCGGCCCCAAGTCCTGGTCGGAAGGGAGCGCCGTGAGGCCCGGCTGCCTTCTACCTGGAAGTGTTGGGCAGGTAGTGGAAGTGCACAAGGCTTTAACACAGCAAGATTTTAAAGCACGTGTCTGTCGTTTTTACTTTCAGGGTTTTGGCCAAATTGGGCGAGGGCACAAAATAACCTCTTACCCCTTCTCACCGAGGAAGAGCGGGAGAAAGGGTAAGTAAGGAAATGATCAGGGGTGGAAGGAGCTAGAACTTAATCCTAAGAAAGAGAAGGTCTAAATCCAGAACTGCCCCTGGGGAACTTGGGGCTAAGTTCAACCATTTTTTGAGGAACCTGAGACTCACTTTCAAGGGTCACAACCCCGAAGACCAAGGGTTCTTCAGGCTTGCAGAGTCTGTAGAGTTGGCTGGGAATTTGGTAGTTTTGTCATAGATCCCTTTTAGCCATTTGAGCTGCCAGAAAACGGTTGTTACCCTTCGCTTTTTTCCATTTGGAACCCTGGTCCTCCAGTTGTCTGTCTCAGGGTAGCTTTGACTAATCCCGGAGACTAGAGTAGTAAAGAATCGTGGTCCTGGTTCTTTACTTTTTAAAATCGGACGCCTGTAAAAATGCTTTAGGATCCCAAAGCAGGAAGTTAATGGCGATATCACAGGTGACGAAGTTCTCGTGATGAAGTTCTCTTGGGATCTTCTCTCCAGCTTATAAAGGAAGGGTTTTTTGGAGGGGGAGGCGGGGAGAGTGACCAGGCTGGGCCCTTTTCTATTGCCTTTCACTTTGCTACCCCTTCCTAAGGCTTTTATTCACTTCTGAAAAGTTACCAGATAGCACACCGGCGTCCTTGGAAGTTTACTGTGATTTCAGTGTGGTCCTCGTCATCCATTCTCTTCTGGGACTTTTCCATTACTTCCGCTTCTCCAAATGCACACCCTTCCCCAGCCCCCATACTGGGGAAATGTATTTACAGAAGATTGGGAGCCCCTTATGTATCTATCCTACATTTCACATATAAACAAACGATTAAAATTAGTTAAAATTCAGATTAGCTATAAGCAAGAATGTAGCAAACCACATTCTTTGATTCTGGCTTAGGAAGACTAGAATTGCCCTCTGTGACCGTCTCTGTATTGGCTACTGTGTCCTATACCTGCCTACTTATTATTCCTTTGTACTCAAGTGGCAAGTGGCCACATAATTTACTTTATGAAAGTTCAGGAAAACAATTGTTTGTTGATGATGGGCTCATTCATTGATTCAATAGATACTTGTTATGTCTTTCCTACCAAGTACTGAGCACTTTGATATGAGTAGGGTGGTGAGAAGGATCAGACTAGGTTGGACATGGCAATTTTGGGGAAGGCCTTTCACCAGTGATTTTTCTGAATAGTTTCACGTTAATGTACAAGAAAGGAGCCCTAGTAGCGCAGCGGTTAAGCACATGACTGCTAACCACAAGGTCGGTGGTCCGAACCCACCAGCCTCTGTGGGGAGAAAGATGTGGCAATTTGCTTCTTTAAAGGTTAAGGCCTAAGAAACTCTATGGGGCAGTTTTACTGTGTCCTATAGGGTCTCTGTGAGTTGGAATTGACTCTGCAGTAATGGGTTTTGGGTACCAGACCTTCCCTGTACTACTGATCTTTTTTTTTTTTTTTTTGGAGGGATTGTACTTGTTTTATTTATTTTGTTAATTTGCTTTAGGTGAAAGTTTACAGCTCAAGTTACTTTCTCATTCAAAACTTATACACGTATTGTTTTGTGACATTAGTTGCAGTCCCCACAATGTGACAGCACACTCCCCCTTTCCACTCTAGGTTCCCTGTGTCCATTCGACCAGTTCCTGTCCCTTCCTGCCTTCTCATCCTGCTTTTGGACAGGAGGTGCCTGTTTGGTCTTGTATATCTGAAGGAACTGAGAAGCACATTCCTCATGTGTATTATTTTTTGTTTTATAGTCCTGTCCAATCTTTGTCTGAAGAGTGGGCTTTGGGAATGGTTTCAGTTCTGGGTTTCCAGTCTCTGTCAGACCATTAAGTCTGGTCTTTTTACATGAATTTGAGTTCTGTTCTACATTTTTCTCCTGTTCTGTCCGGGACTCTCTGTTGTGTTCCCTGTCAGGGCCGTCACGGGTGGTAGCTGTGCATCATCTAGTTCATCTGGTCTCAGGCTGGTGGAGTCTCTGGTTCGTTTGGTCCTTTAGTCTTTTGGGCTGGTATTTTCCTTGTGTCATTGGTTCTATATACTACTGATCTTAATGGTTTGCAGGTCTATACATTGTTGTGGGAGAGCAGTGTTATTATTGGGCCTTTCTGGTACTTTTAGTAATAAACTTTCGGGGATGACCTACCATGGTGATTTGTGTCATATAATGAATAGTGTTATAGTTATTTTCCAATGTAGTAAGTGTAGTGTACCAGTATAATAATTAGATGAGGATAACTTTTTGAATTGTTCCATAAACTTGAAGAAGGACCTGGTATGAGAAAACATGGAGACTGTTAAGGATGCCGTACTTAGGAAAATCAATACCAAAGTAAACTGTTAACTTGCATTGGTTTCTGTATGTTGAACCTTGTTTTTTTTTAATCAAAGCGAAAACAAGTTCTTTTATTATTTTTGGTTATAAAATTTATATAATGTCAAAACAAAGCTATATAAAATTAAATATTGCAGGGATATAAAAGATAGAAAGTGAAAATTTCCCATTCTCAGGGATGACCACTGTCAACAATTTGATGTTTACTTCTTCACCTTGTTGTTCTATACACACACACTCACACTAGTATTTGATAAAATTGTGAAGTACATTTCCACCTTTTATCTCCATAGTCTTGGCCATTTGCCACTCTCCCTTGCCCCACCCCAAATCCTCCTGTAGAAGTAGCATGAACTTTATATACATGGGTTTGAATCCTGGCTCTTGTTTTATTAGCTGTGTCACTTTGAGCCAGTTAAAACTTCTCTGCTCCTTAATTTCTCATCTGTCAAAGCAGAACAATAAGTGTATACAAAAGAACGTGTAGACAACCCAGTGCCTGGCGTATAGATATGCAGTGTTGATCTCCCTCCCTGTTTCTTTATGTGGACACCCATCACTTTCTTTTGTTTGTGGAAAGCAATCTAGTGCTCTCTTTCCTTTAGGTGCTAGGCCTCCCGGGTATTTGCATTTTCACAGGGATCACCTATATCTGGTCCTAGAATTTCAGATCATACCACAGCCCTGCCTAAAGAGTGTCAGCTTGAAAAATGAAGGGAAAAGTTTTCTGTAATGTGTTTAAAAGTCTCTGACATTGTTCCCAAAGTGAGAAAGACATACTACCACATTTAGCCAAGTGCTTAAACTTAGGATTTCTATTTCAGAAACGTCTTTGGTTTACAAGAATTATAATAAAAATGCTGATGCTTCATGTCCAAACTGTCATGATTTTGCCAAGTTGTCGGTTTAATATACAGCTAAGTTGTGTATTTAGTGTATCTAATACTGCTCTGGAAGCTGAGAAAGACAAATCCACAGACATCTGATTTCACAGCAGACATCTGGTTTCATTTTGCTAAGGAGTACATTTTGTCAGTAGATGATAGGCATATCAGCTGTACTGCTGTATTTTGTGGCATTTCTATCATAAGCTCTGGTCTGTAGGGCTTCGTGTGATGTTTTATTCAAATGACAGCACATGGAAAATGAGCACCTGGTCAGATAAGCACATTCCCCATAGGTGTCTTCTAGTGTCATTGTTCTTACATGTTACCAAGGCAAGGTAGTTTCTGTCCTTGGAGATTTTCATATGAAGGGTTTTCGTGGAAAAAATAGTCTTAAAAGAAGAACCTTACCTAAGAACCCACGGTATTTCAAAAGTTCATTTTCCAGTCTATTGTTTATAATGTTGAACAATGTACTTAAAGAAATAGAATAACAAATAGCATAGATTTCCAGGTCAGAACCCCAAAGTTTTTTTTTCTAACTCATTGTGTGCCCATTATGTATTAATGGTACTGTAGACTCTAACCAACATTTATAATAGTGTTACAGAGGAAAATGTGTTCTGAGTTCCAACCTAGAATGGCTGGAGCATGTCCCCCTCCATTTTGAGGTAGTGATAGGTATAGAAAAACTCTGGGTTCTTGAGTGGTCTTGGTCATGTCTTACCTCTGTGACTTTGGACACAAATTCCTCCTTTATAAATTGGGATAATTACTCCTGAATATTATGAGACTGTGTCCCTACGTGGTGCAAACAGTTTGCACTGGATCGCTAACCAAAGGTTGATGGTTTAAACCCACCCACTAGTACCGTGGAAGAAAGGCCTGGTCATCTGCTTCCCTTAAGATTACAGATAAGAAAATGCTATGGAACTCAGTTCTACTCTAACACATGAGGTCGCCATGAATCAGAATTGACTTGAGTTACCAGTTTGTTTGTTTTTTTTTTGTTATCGTGAGAATTCAGTGAGATATTTGTACGTTAGTGTAATACCTGACACAAAATAGGTCCTCAGTAAATAGTAGCTTCATTACTTTCCTCCAGGTCCTGGCCACAAGAATAAAGATACCCTCTTTCTCTCATATCCCAGACTAACCCACTGGCCAGGACTTGTGGCTTTTACTGAGACAAATTATTTACACATGGGATCTGAGGGTTGGTAGTGGGATTTGGAAAGGAGTATGGAGAGCAGTGACAAACGAAGTGGGGAGCTGAGTCCACGGACTTAAGATTGATGGATCACTTGGCTCATAGAATTGTCTTTATTTCTGTCTGACCTCTCTCTTGATCTTTTGTCAGCCACTTCACTGGAAACTCTTACCTCCTCATTGCCTGCTTCGCCCAGTGAAACTTTTTGTCTCTGTCACCTTGATAGTACTACCTACCTGAGTAACCAAATTTTCCTGTTTTTTTTATGAGTGGGACATAATAGTAGATATCTGTCTGCCTCCTTTAGATCTATTTTTTAAATTCATTCTATTTGATATTCTTGCCCTTTCATTGATCTATAGTTCATTCATTAACTCCTTCATTTTTTTTTTAATTGTACATCAGGTGAAGGCTTACAAAACAAATAGTTTCTCATGAAAAAGTAGTACACATATTGTTTTATGAC